TCACACTACAGTACAGAAATTTCAACTGAATGCCAAACATGCATATCTGGTTGATAGAAATGCAAAATATTGAGCTAGGTTTGTTTCATATTTTCAGGGCTTTGATGCACAATATTTGCAGTAGTCACTGACCAGTGACGTACCTTGTTTCATTGAGGTTTAAATTGACCTATGATATTTATCGTTACAGTCAGAGAAGGAGAATGCTATGAGCAGCACTACGCTGTGGGCAGGTCCAAGGACGGTGGCAGTGCCGCGGACGGAGAGTGGATTTGGCTTCACGCTGCGCCATTTTATTGTCTATCCCCCAGAGTCTGCTGTCAAAGAACTGAAGGTGAGTGGATATGTGTGGTTATACACATCCGTACTAAAATATTCGTGCAGTCACCAACATATCCCCACATGCGCGCACACACAGACATGTGCATGCGTGCGCACAGACACACACACTTAAACACAAAATGCTTGCTTTAGTTACTAATTTATACCTTTAAGCATTAAACCATAGGACCTTTTGCAATAAAAAAGTGAAGGAAAAAATAACAGATGCATATTTATTTTGAATCAATTTGTAGCATGGCTGCCATATTTTCTCTCAGTTCTGAACACCTCGCTTCATCATGGGATATTTTTTTATTGCCTGATCTTAACACTAGGTAAATACTGCAGCATATGGCTGTTAATGATGCTCTGAGAGGTGACTTATAATGTTAGCGGCAGTGTTAACAGCATAGCACCACGAGTTAAGCTTTAAGTGATCTGGGTAAAGTTTGTATTGAGACTAGGCCACCCTGCTTGCTGCAGATACAGGGAAAAGGTTATGTTTTCTATACACTGGGAGTGGACTATATTCAGTACTGGCAGATAAAAAAACAACTGCAATGTTTTGTTTGTATTGTGTGTGAGACATTAGCAGTAATAGTACCACAGTGTCAGTGGGTGCTTCCTGCCACATTACTAGTATATAGGTAATGACACTGCCTAGAGTAGGAGTTACTGCAATAGGTCCTGTCTGCTTGTTGATAGGGAACTATGTGTAAATTACCTGTATTTTTGTAGTATTAGAAGGCTACAAGGATGTAGTAGTAAGGGCTTGTGTTCATGTTAATAGGGAACTATGTATAAATTACCTGTATTTCTGTAGTATTACAAGGCTATATGCTACAAGGATGTAGTAATCAGAGCTTGTGTTCATGTTAATAGGGAAGTGTGTAAATGGCAGGTATTTCTGTAGTATTTAAAGGTTGGTTCTGGTTACATCTTGAAACATGTGCCTCTTCAGATTAATGGTTTACCTACGCAGAACTATCTCATATAATCTGTTTATTATGGTGTTAATGATCAGTTGAGCACTGTGGTTCTTTAGTATTCTTTTGTTTCTTGGAAAATTGGATATTAATCATTTCAGTGAATTTTTTTGAAGAAATAGGAATGAATAACTCTTCCCAGAATTATAAGGACTGTAAGGACAACATCTGTATATTCTAGATTCAAGCTCAGATTTCAGGAAAGAATAACAAGTTCCATGGACATTGTTGCTATAGATTTCACATGTGGCATATTGTGTGGACAGAATTAACCAATGTTTTACAGTATGCAGTGTTTACCTTTTACTATTTACCCTTTATCAGCCACAGTTTTATTTGCCCCCCCCCCTCAACCCCCCCCCCCAAAAAAAAAAAAAAAAAGGTTAAGAAAGAAATTTTCATCGTGACAAGGTGATATGAATCATGGTTCAGCATGCTAGTGTTGTCAACCAGTGATATGGCAGAGTACAGGACTGATGGTGCTGATATCTTCTGTTTTTCCCAATTTGTTGCCAATTTCTTTCCGCCAGTGATTAAATATTAAAAGAGAGCTCTATTCTCCTTACTGTAAGTCTCGCTGTACTAGATGTTGTATGCAGTTGCAATGAACCAGTTGATCAAGATCATTGTGTTAGGTGTGTTGGCTGTAGCACAATCATGGTTGAGCAGAATGTGTTAGGTGTGCTGTGCAGAACACAATCAGCTGTGAACACATCAAGATAGAAAAAGCATTGCATTTCCACACCAAAGAGCACATTGTGTTAAGCACAGTTTACTTAGAATGAATTCCCAGAGGCAGTGTGTGAGTTAGTTAGACATCATCCTGTTGTTTATGGTTTCCTGGCTTAGCCTTGGCATTTGAACACTTCTCTTTACTGTACTGTTTCCCTCATTAGTTTGGGAGTGATTTCTGGACAAGAGGTCTTAATGTGAAAGCCGCCAATATTGATGTTAAATACAACCTGATTCAAATTTGACTAGTGATGAAATAAAAAGATATAATGTGTGAAGTTCAAGTCTGTATCTCTGTTGAAATTGATGCAAATGTGCAATCTTATGATTTTCATATCTTGTTTTTAAAATATTTTTTTATACATATTTTGTGAATTTAGGCCACACTTTTTTAATTTTTATGGATGACATCCTCTGGGGACCCCAAAATCGGTGCGGGCGGGCGAAAAAAAAAAAAAAAAAAAAAAAAAAAAAAACAGTCCAAAAAAAAAAACTGCTTAAGAAAAGTTATGTTTTCAGTAATTTAAA